TAATATACATAGTCATAATATCTGTTATTATGACTATGATTTAATATCTCAGTATCACAATCCACTTAGGTATTTAGCTAGTGAATATGCAAAGAAAAATTAGTTACTACACTGGTTTTTAAAACTAAAAAATTATAAAAATACTAGATAAAATAATAAAGTGAGAATAATAAATAATGATAATTTTGTTTTTATGCACAAGTTAATAAAATAATTATTAATAACAGTTGGCTCGATTCAAGTCAATAATAAAATGTTTTTCTCCTCAGGTCTTGAGGAGAAAAACATTTTATTATTTTAAATAAAAATATTCTCCGCACACATACAATGTACAATTGTAAATACAACATATTAACATATATTGTAAATACAACAATTATTTGTGTATTCATTTGTATAAGTGAATACACGAATTAATATGTTGTATTTACAATGTAAATAAATTCTTTAAAGTTTCTGCTTGGTTTTTTTCCTGATCAAACTTTATTTAGAGATGGCCCATGACCACTAAAGCTAATAATAAGACAAAGAGTTCTTTTAAAAACAGATAAGATAGTATGTTTTTACTGTCTCAAACTTTCATTCAAATCTCCTATTTTTAAAATATAGGTGCAAATACAGCTAAACCCTACTTAGTTCGAAATAATTATTTTGCATTTATTTTTCTTTATTTTATGTTCCTATTTACAGTAAACTGTAGTTTCATTGTTATCTTTTAATATTCAGTTGGTATTCTAGTATATTTGATTGTTTACATATTATTTCTAACTTCAAAATTACATTTTCAAAAAGTATTCTTTAATACCATTTTGTTTTGCATTGCATACAATAACATGTATATATATATATATATATATATATATATATATATATATATATATATATATATATATATATATATATATATATATATATATATATATATATATATATATATATATATATATACATATACATATATCGTCAGATTGAGTAATATGGCCACCGGGGGTAATATGGTCAGTTAAACATATTTATCAGTTTCTTGCTAAAATCTGCTAAAGTTTTGCAGATGAAATGTCCCACTCTACATACTTTTTATAGCCCTATGTTTACCTGACAGTTTAATGTCTGTTACAAAAAATTAAAATTTTAATACTCTTGTTGAGTGTTTTTCATGTCAGTGTTTTTATCTTTTCAGATTTTAAAAACGCTATCTATTGCCAAGCAAATACTTGACAGGCAATTTGACCGAAATTTTAACCAGACTTTTATAAGCTATTTAGGTAAGTGCATTTTAAAGCTCAAAGCATTTACCTTAAGATAAGTGGGGTAAATAGGTCATTTTAAAAATTGGGGTAATATTGCCACTTATTGATTTGATTGGTAAAAATCAGTTTTTTTTTAAATCAGTTGCAATATGCCATGCACATACAAACCAAAGAAAGGTTACTCACAGTAAACACCCTATAGAGTGGACAAGGCTATGAAGAACATTGCTGCTGGTATTCTAGTTAAAAAAACCTCTGAGACCTACAAAGTTTCCAGGTCTATTTAGTAAGACCAAAAATATGTAGACATCTTGTTGAACTACTATTCCTGCTGAGTAATTCTTGTCATTACTCAAAGTTGAGTAAAGATAAACAATTTCATTAGCAGGATGAAGAGCTTTGAGATACGGTTGCATTAAAACACTTCATTAAAAGTATCCTTCATAAATTGAACTTCTCTAGGCAAGATTAGGCTTATGGATTTTTGAAAAGGCACTACAACCTAATTTTACAGAAAATTGTTTAAAACATTTTTAAGAGCCGCGCAGCTGTAAGTGAAGAGAAGCTTGTTTTTTTTTTTTTATTAACAATCTGCAAAACCTGCAAAATCTGCAAATCCTTCTAATATAAAGAACTATAATAATACTAATATTAGCAAAGAAAATAATTTACAGAAAGGCCACATCATTCTTAAGACATCCAGATACTATATTAAAAAGTGAAATGTCTTTGCAATTTGTAATTTTTAATATTTTATTGTATTGGTATTTTGAACTTTATTTTATAAATCTAATTTTAAGATTTGAAACATACTTTTTTTAATTTCATAAAAATGTATCAGAATGTTTTGTGACTTTCATTAATTTCTTGAACATGTATTGCATTGCTTTGTTTAAATTAAGTTTTTTTGTTAAGTGGCCAAATCACCCTATTTTTGGATTTAAAAAAAAAATGATTTTCATTAATATGTTGGGGTTAAATTTTTAAAGCTACATAGCTAATTTTCTCATACAATGTGCATCTTGAAAGAGTGTTTCTTAAATAAAATCTACAAGTTTGTAGCTCTTGTATTTAGCAAATTATTAAAAAAAAACAATCAAAATGTGGCCATATTACCCCATCTGCTGCACCCATATGCTGCCACATTTAAAAGATTATTATTAACTTTATTTTGTGTTTGTCGGATTTCTTTGCAAAATATTTCTAGAAAATAAGGAATAAAAATTTAAAAATATTGCCCACACTGAGGGGCGCCCCATGCTGCCAAAGCCCAAGGGCAGTCTGATCGCTAAATACGGCCCTGTATAAATATATGTATATATATATATATATATATATATATATATATATATATATATATATATATATATAATATATATTTATATATATTTATATATATAAATATATATATATATATACACATATATTTATATAATATATATACATATATATATATATATATATATATATATATATATATTATATATATATATATATATATATATATATATATATATATATATATATATATATATATATATATACACACACATATATATCTGTGTATATATATATAAATTTGATTACTACATAAATGACATTAGCACACACCAGAGAGTTAAGCTTGAAGTAACATCAACTGAACAAGATTTAGGTATAGTATTGTCATATGATCTTAAATTTCATGATCAAGTCACAAGAGCATCATTTAAAGCTAATCAAATGCTTGGAACTCTAAAAAATACATTTATATCTAGAAATGTTACTATATGGAGTAAACTTTATAAAGTTTTTGTGCAACCACATTTAGAGTATGCAGTGTCAATATGGTCGCCCTATTTAAAAAAAGATATTTATATTTTGAGAGAAAATTCAAAAATAAGCTTTAAAGATACCACACAATCTTCATAACCTTAATTAATCACTAGAAAAGAGACGCCAACAAGGAGATCTATTTCAAAAATACAAACTAGAGAATTTTAAAAATAGTCTGGCAAAAAGAACCTATGAAGGTCTCTCCACGAACTGACCAACGTTTACAATACCGCAGAGAAACCATAAAGAACTGTGCTCAACAGTATCATTTCTTTAACAATAGAGTTGCTTTGATATGGAATTCATTACCAGATAAAGTTGTTATGCAGCCAAGCACAAACTTTTTTAAAAATAGCTTAGACTGAATAATCTAAAGAAACTGCAAAACTGAAGTTAATATTTCTCATTCTTTGGTGTTTGACGTTGTTGCCTGCAACAGATGAGATGCTTTACACAAAAAATGACAAAACTTTTTTTTTTGTGTAACTTAAGTTATTAATACTAATATATATATATATATATATATATATATATATATATATATATATATATATATATATATATATATATATATATATATATATATATATATATATATATATATATATATATATATATATATATATATATATATATATATATATAAAAGATGTCAAATGCCTGAATGTATACAATCGGAGATTTAAAGTGACCATTTATTATAACTTGATTTATAACTTAGCATAGCGCTTATTGTCAAATGAACTTTTTAAATCGAATCTCAAATCATTTTTCTCATTTAATTTCGAAGTCTTAAATATTTGCAGGGCCCTAATAAATATATGCATATATATATATATATATATATATATATATATATATATATATATATATATATATATATATATATATATATATATATATACATATATTTAAAAATATCACACTGG